AACTGGTGCAGCCAGTCTGGAAAACAGTATGGAGGTTCCTCAAAAGGTTGAAAATAGAGCTACCCTATGGCCCATCAATTTCACTACTGGATATTTACCCTAAAGATACACATGTAGTAATCTGAAGGGGTATGTGCACTCCAATGTTTATAGCAGCAATATCCACAATAGCCAAACTATGGGAAGAGCCTAGATGTCCTTCAACAGAAAAATGGATAAAGAAGTTGTGAGATAGATATATCTATATAGATAGATCTATATAATGGAATATTATGCAACCATCAAAAATGAAATCTTGCCATTTGCAATGACGTGGACTGAACTAGAAGGTATTATGCTAAGTGAAATAAGTCAGTCAGAGAAAGACAATCATATGATCTCACTGATATCAGGAATTTGAGAAACAAGACAGAGGATCATAGGGGAAGGGAGGAAAAAATGAAACAAGATGAAACTATAAAGGGAGACAAATCATAAGGGACTCTTAATCTCAGGAAACAAACAGGATTGCTGGAATGGAGGGGGTTGGGAGGGATGGGGGTCTGGGTGATGGACATTGGGGGAGATTATGTGCTGTGGTGAGTGCTTTGAATTGTGTAAGACTGATGAATCACAGACCTGTACTCCTGAAGCAAATAACACATTATATGCTAATAAAAAAAAATAATAAATTTTTTTTAAAGTTCATAAAGAAAAAAAACTTGAACTAAAGAGTAAGAAACAGAATTGAACAAATGGTAATGACTTAAATTTTCCAAGTCTTAGTTCTTTTATCAACAATATGAAGATAAATACAAAAACTCACAGGACTAACATGAGTATTTAGGTTTTATATAATGCATCATTCTAGAAAACTCTCACTTGTCCTTCTCCTCTCTTATGCTTCCCCACAAGGTATTTCATCTGTCTTGGATGCCAGTCCTTTGTTTTACTTTATTTACTAAGTACCAAATTTCCATTCTTTTTTTTTAAGGTTCAACTAAGGAATTACCTATTCAAATAAGTTTTTTTTTTTCAATTTCTCTATGTAGATTTAAGTGTTCTTTGGGTTTCTTTAACTCTTCTTATCTACTGCTCTTAGAGGACTTAGTTGCATTTTCAATATCTATCATGTTCCTATCATAGGAACTGTGCCTTCTTTATCTCTCTATTTCTGACCATGTCTTTCATATTCCTGGTTAGGTTACCAATAAATGTTACTTTAATAAATGAATAAATAGAATTTCAGCTCTATCCACCTAGATTTTTGATAAAGTATTAGACCTAATAAAAAATTCAATGAGTTTCAGATCTTGGAAGAATTGAGAAATAGCATAAAAAGGACAACTGTGATAATAGTGAAAATGTAAAGATTCCAGAGGATATCATCAGAATTAGTTTGACTTTTTTCCAAAGATTTCCCTAGTGATATAAGTGTTATCTTCTTTGGAATAAGAAATTGTTTCAAGGGAACTTTTGTAAGAATATTTACTTGGAAGAGAGTCTTCATTAATATTAGCATGTAGTAACATATTCTTCATCCATAGATATCAGGGAATGAGACTCAAAGGAATGAAAAGCAAGATAAAAATATTGAGTGTTAAAAGCAATTAACCTAAACAAACTCTGATTCTCAGCTTATTGTTATTACCTATTCAGACAACATTTAAATTTTAAGAAAGACTAAACAGACATATTTTGCTTTAGAGAATAATTTTTAATCTCTGCATTCTTTTTAGTTTTTAAATAGCAGATAGAAATTGGAGAGCTTAAAAATGTATTTTCTGGTGACCATTATATCACTGTGCTTGGTTTTGAGGTTTTCTTCATTCATGCTATCATTCTGGAAATTTTCTTTATATCATATTTTCCAAATCAATAATGTTGTACATATATATTTAAACACTATTTTGTTCTTTAATTCAAATACCCAAAGGCAATGACAAAACTAGACATTTTGAGTAATTAAGCATATACTTGCATTGCCAGGAAAGGTGGGAATTGAGAATTACGTGAAGAGAAACTAAAGACTTATGTTGCATTCTTTTTCTAGGTACGGCATGTGAATTTTAGGGGTGTTTTTTAAGATTTTTATTTATTTATTTGACAGAGATTACAAGTCAGCAGAGAGACAGGCAGAGAGAGAGAGGAGGAAGCAGGCTCCCCGCTGAGCAGAGAGCCCAATGCGGGGCTCGATCCCAGGACCCCAGGACCATGACCTGAGCCGAAGGCAGAGGCTTTAACCGACTGAGCCACCCAGGCACCCCGGCATGTGAATTTTAAAAAGGGAGCTTTTTCAGATGAGACCAAAATGACGCCAGTGAAAATGCTGTCTAGGGATATAAAGCTTGAACTCTAGAGTCTAACAGACAAGGATTAATATTCTATACAAACCCCCTTAATCACTAAGTACGCTGTGAAATATCCTTAACTTTTGCATCTGCAAGTTGGCAACAATAACACTTACCTAATAAGGCTAGGGGATCTAGTATGTGTAAAACATTAGCACAAGGCTTGAACACAGTGTCAAGGAATAATAATGTTGTTGCTATTATTACTGATTACAGAAAGCCTCATTACAGGTGATATACTAGGTTCTGACAGGTAAAACAACTGGTTCTAAATCCAAGTCTGCTGTCCCCAGACTCTGGAATCCAGACTTTATCTGTTAGGAAGTGTTCACCTACAAAATTGGAACTTCTGACTCAACTTAGATAATATAAAATATTTTGCTGCATCATCATTAAGTTCAGAGGTAGAGTTGCCTTCAGACTTGATTAATTAAGACGCTCAACTGTGTCATCAAGAACTCAGGTTCTTGAGATGATCATTTAAATTTTTTCTTTCATTCTATTAACATAATATATCATAGTGATTGATTTGCATATGTTGTACCATCCTACTTGGTATAAATCCCACATGATCACAGTGAATGATCCTTTTAATATCCTCTTGAATTTGTTTGGCTGGTATTTGATAGAGAATTTTTGCAACTATATTAATCAGGGATATTGGCATACTAGTTTTTGTTTCTCTGGTAGTAGTCCTTTTTGACATCAGGGTGATGCTGACTCATAAAACGTTTCCTCCTCTTCAATTTTTGAAAGGGTTTGAAAAGGGTTAGCATTAATTCTTCTTTAAATGTTTATTAAAATTCACCATGTGGCTCTAGGATTTTCTTCTTTAGGAGATTTTTCATTATGGATTCAATCTCCTTACCAGTAATTGGTCTATTCAGACTTTCTATTTCTTCCTGATTCAGTCTTGGTATATTGTATGTTTCTAAAAAACATATTTAGAAAGTGTATTTGACAAAATTCAACATATAATCATGATGAAAACCCTTAACAAATTAAGTATAGAATGGATGTACCTCAACATAAGAAAGGCCATTTATGATAAGCCCACAGCTAACATACCAAAGGTGAAAGGTTGAAATCTTTTCCTTTAAGATCGAGAGCAAGACAAGGGTGTTCATTCTTACCACTCCTATTCCACATAGTACTGGAAGTCCATAGCAGAGCAATCAGACAAAAAAAAAGAAATAAAAGGTATCAGAATTGGAAAGAAAGAAGTAAAATTTTCTCTATTTGCAGATGACATGATTTTGCATATAGAAAATCCAAAAAACATCACCCAGGAAAAACAAAAACAAATAAACAACAACAAAAAAACCCTGTTGGATCAAATTCTAACAATATTAGATTAACATTAGATGAAACAAATCCAGTAAAGTTTCAGGATACAAAATTAACTACAAAAATCAGTAGCATTTTTATGTACTAATAATGAATTATCTGAAAAAGAAATAGAGAAAACAATCCCATTTACAACAGCATCAAAAACAGTAAATACTTAAGAATAAACTTAACCAAGAAGGTGAAAGGCTCTACTTAGAAAACCACAAAACTATGAAAGAAATTGAAGAAGACACAAAAAATGGTATCCTGGGTTTATAGGTTGGAACAATTAATATTGTTAAAATGTTAACATTACCAAAAACTATCTTAAAATTCAATGCAATCCCTTTTTAACAGAAGTAGGGGGAAAATCCTAATTTTTATATGGAACCACAAAATATTGTGAATAGCCAAAGTAAACCTGAATGAAAAAAATGTGGGAATATCACACTTCTTGATTTCAAGCTATCTTACAAAGCTACAGTATTTAAAACAGTACAGTACTGGAACAAAAACAACAAATACATCAACAGAGCAGAAGTGAGAGTCCAGAAATAAACCCATGCTTATAGTGTCAACTAATATTTGACAAGGAATCCAAAACTACTCATTGGAGAAAAGTCAATCTCTTCAATAAATGATATTGGAAAAAGTGGATATTCACATGCAAAAGAATGAAACTAAACACCTATCTTCCACCAGTTGTAAAACTTGACTCAAAAATAGATTAAAGACTTAAATGCCCAAAGTGCTCATCAATGAATGAACAAATAAAGATATGGTATACATATACAATGGTATATTTATCAGTCATGAAAAAGAATGAAATCTTGCCATTTGAGCCAACAGGGATGGACCTAGAGGATATTATACCAAGTGAAATAAGACAAATACCATATGATCTCACTAAAACGTAGAAAAAAAAAAAATGAACATACAAGATAAAACAGAAATAGGCTCATGTTACAGGAAATGAACCATTGGTTACCAGAGCGGAGGTATTATGTTAAGTGAAATAAGTCAAACACAGAAAGACAAATATTGGTATGATCTCACTGACATGTGGACTCTAAAGGAAAATAAAACCAGAAACCAAACTAATAAAGAGAGAGAGAGAGAGAGAGATCAGATTTGTGGTTACCAGGGGTGGTAGGCAGTGGAAGAGGGGTAACTGGAAGAAGGTGGTCAAAAGGTACAGACTCTCAGTTATAACATAAATAAGTGCTAGGTATGTAGTGTACAACAGGAGGGCTATAGCTAACACTGCTGTGTTGTACAGGAAAACTGTAAGAGAATAAATCTTAAGAGTTCTCAAAACAGAGGCGCTGTGCTGCCGCCGCCATGATCATCCCGGTGCGCTGCTTCACGTACGACAAGATCGTCGGCAACATGTGGGAGGCCTACCTGGGGCTGTTGCAGGCCAAGTACACCGAGGGGGATGCCCTGGGCGCGCTTGGCCTGAAGTGCTACTGCTGCTGCCGCATGCTGTTGGCGCACGTGGACCTGATCGAGAAGCTGCTCAACTACGAGCCTCTGGAGAAGTGAGGGTCTGGCGTCCACGCCCTGCTCCCCGCAGCAGGCTTACTCCGCCTGACAGCCCTGCCCTCCGTCCGTGGGCCTGTGTCTCTGCTCCGGGGGCAGCTGTCCAGTAAAGGTCTTCGCAGAACCGAGAAAAAAGAGAGAGAGAGAGAGAGAGAGGGGGGGGGAGAGAGAGAGAAAGAAAGAAAGAAAGAAAGGGAGAAAGAAAGAGAAAGAAAGAAAGAGAAAGAAAGAAGAAAGAAAGAGTTCTCAAAAATGAAAAAAAAAATTTATTGTATCTATATGTTAACTAAAACAATATATGTAACTTAAATCATTATGCTGTACACCTTAAACTTATGCAGTAATAGGTGTCAATTTCATCCCAGTAAAACTGGGAGAAAAGAAAAAACTCATGTTCTTTCCATCTCTCTACCATACATGAGATCAATTCCATCCTATGGCTGGTCATTTTTATGGCTTAAGAATGGCTACTGGAAACAATAGGGCAAAATGATCTTTGTTCAAGTAGGGAGAGTGACAGAGAGATCAAATTATTGATTCCAGGAACCCAAGCAATCCTCTCCCTTCGTGTAACTCTCTGCTCTTCTTTCTTCTCCTTTTCTTTCAACTTTCTTCCATATATTCTGTCCATCCTTCCATATTCCCTCACTCCCTCCCACCTCCCCTATTTCTTTCCTTCCTTCCTCCCTTTTTTCTCCTTTTTCCTTTCTTTCATTCTTTTTTCAACAATTATTTATTGGGTATCTACCACAGGCCTGTCACTGTTCTAAGTTATAGGGATACATCAGTGCACACAACTGTCAAAAATACTGCCTTCATATAGCTTACATTCTAGTGGAACCAATTTGCTCCCACAACTAAACCAACCACTGGCCAGAAGAATGAGATGACATAGGTTAGAGACTAACTGGTTAGAGTGGAATAGATGTTGGGGAATCTACCACATTGGCTCAATATGTTTCAAAATACAACCTTGGGATCCCTTATAGACATCAAATCTTCAAGCACCTCACAGTCTATGGAAGGGAAAAATCATGCCTTTTTTCTAAATATCTGCCTTATTTTCTGCTTCTCAGAAAAACAAACAAATAAATAAATAACTTCTTCAGTGGTGTGTACTACATAGTCATTACCAGACATGTTTATGTGATAATATGTTGTTAATAAAATTTAAGCTCATTTGCTTTCTTTGGTTGTCATTTTAAAATCCCAGACCTTGCATTTATTTTGGTTTATTATGTAAAAATAATTTAGTGTTTTAATCATAGACCACATGATATACTGTAATGGTAATCTTTAAATGCCCATTTCATTAAATTTTTATGTTGCACACAAGACCTATAAGTCCCTGCTGCTACAGCAAATCATTTCATAACTTAATCTAGTAACAATGTCTGGTGGTGATTTTCAATTAAATTGAGTCCCTGGTAATGCATCAGAGTAAATGGAACTGAGCCAAACGTTGCTGATGCCACGTATGATGTGGTTTCTCAATCATGCCAAAGTATTTTTGCCTCAGTTCCCACCAAATCCTGATTCCCACCAGAGTAAAGCAACATGTGAATAGCCCAGTACTAAACTTTGTTTTTCTTTTTTTAGGGTAAGGGTATTTCATTTATTTTCAATCCTCTACTGGGGTAATTAAAATTCTGAGTCTTCTATCTTTTTTAATGTTTTGCATTTTTTATTTAGTTTTATTTATGCCCACCAGAAATTAACCAAAATAAAATTGTCCAGAGCAGCAATCACCTTTCTTAAAGATATTATGTGGAAAGGGAGAAAATTATTATCTTTAAAATAAGTGCACAGGAACAGGTGGGATTTGCACAGGATGGTTTCCATGGGCTTTTCCAATTCTCACTTTCCTATAAGCTGCAGGATACCAACATACCTGGGTGTTGTAGGTGGTGGGACCATCTGACCTAAACTTCATCTAGAAAAAAATCATACGATTATGTAAAAGTTCTTGAAATAAGTATAACTACAATTAACTAAGTCAAAATTCAGTCCTAGGAAAGCAATTAGTCTCTACTCCAGAGGCAGGGAAGTAATAGAAAAATGAAAACTCTGAAAATTAAGTGATAACACATGTAGCCAATAATAAATGAGAGGGTTTTAGCATTTAACTTAATAATAATGAAACAGATTTCTTCAAGAGGCACCTGATCTCAAATTTATCTTGGTTGGAACTCCTATGCTGCACCATAGTCTATAAACAAGCTACATTTTCACACAAACCATTTACAAGAGAAATTAAAGAATTATAAAATTATTTTGAAGAAATATCTCAGAAGACCCCCAGCCTTAACTACTGTTGATACTATCACTTATTTAAAAATCATACTGATGTATGGGTAAGCAGATTTGCCACTCAATGGATAAGCTTAACAGGGAAGCTATTTTCTGTTCTCATTTGTTGGATATTCATTTTAATTGACTAATGCACATGCCATACATGTTGATAAATAGTTCAAATATTATTTCTGTACATCTGTACTATTGTAAACAATGCACATTGTTTGCGACGACTAAAATAGCAATTTATTGAAATGCATCACTTAAATATAACTCAGACATAAAAATCTGTGATAAGATCAATAATCCAAATGGCTGAGAGATTACAAAACTGATCCAAAGACCATTTTCATTCTCAATTTTATTTTGATATGTGTCAACTAGATAATACAAAGCACTAAGTTTACCCTACAAAATCTTGGGACTATTGGGTATAAATCATGTATTAGTCTGCTAAGACCACCATAACAAAATGTCATAGGCTTGGTGGCATAAAAAAATCAAATTTATTTCTCACAATTCTGGAGGCTGGAAGCTCCAGATCACAGTTTGGCAGGGTTTAGTTGCTGGTGAGAATTCTCTTCCTGACTTTCAGACAGCTGCCTTCTTGCTACAATACTCACAAAGCCTTTTTTCTGAGTATGTGGATATGGAGAAAAATCTCTCTTTTCCTCTTATAAGACCATCAATGTCTAATCAGATTAGGGTCTCACCTTTATGACCTCATTGTACCTTAATTAACTCCTAAAGGCTTTATCTGCAAAGGCAGCAATGTGAGGATTAGGGCTCAAACACAAGAATTGGTTGGGGGTAGGTGGTACAAAATTCAGTCCACAGCAGGTCAATAGACTCTATCCTATCATCCCAACTACTTTGGAATCCAAAAGTTTTGAGGCAACTATTTTATTAACTTGGCTAACTTCAAGTAAAATACTATATGCATTTCATAGTAAAAACCTACTAAGTAGTTGATCTTGTGTGACAAACTTATTGACATAGGGTAAGATGATTGTCTAGGTGTTGAGTTATGGGGATTGGTGTCTACAGCTTCTAATAAAATGACAGAAACAAATTCAAGTTCACACTCCACTTCTGTGGATTACTATATCAGATATAATAATCACCCTAAAATTTCACACAATAGTGAGACTTCTAATGTGGATTGACATAGAAATATTATATAGAAACCTAATGTGCTTTAAGTATAAGAGACACGGGGATAGAATTTAATTTAGCAATAAATCTTTGGGCTTAAAACAGACAGTTGATTATTTTAACAAACAGATAAAGATGATAGTAATGATGATAGTAATTGGTAGTAGAAACATCTCACAAAACAAGTAAAATGAGTACCATTTTCAGAAGAGTTGCCCAAAAATGTGGAAAACAAACAAACAAAAACTATTCACCTTAGCAACTGAATAATTTCTCATAAATTCATTAGGGAAGCCACTACCATATTTTCTAAATAACTCATAAAACATGCTCTTCTGGACATTTTCCCCACTTAGTAAAGACATTTGTCTTTCCTAAAGACATTTATTAAACATTTAATTGTATTAATATATTTATACTATATTTGTTATATTAATTATAACACATTTTTCTCTTCTTGCTTTTAGATCTATAGCTTCGGTGACCTTGGAGGAATGGAAATAAATTTGAGAGTCTTGGTTTATTTTATTATGTGGTTTTATATTTTTGGAGATTACATATGATTTGGAAATCAAGTTGCTAATGATTATGGGTTATTAAAATTAGGAATCCAAGCAGAGGTAACTGATGCAAGGGAGGGAGGTATAGGCATTTACACTTACACTTTGATGAAATGTTAATTGCACTGTAAGTATATGTACTTTCTGCTTTGGACAAGTATCACTGGGAAAGCTTGTAACAATTTAGGGGGTACCTGGATTTAACATGAGTGTGGAACTGCATCAAAGCAGGGCATACACCTGCCCTGCTTTGTACCAAAATTGCTGCTGTTATGAGCACACACAGTAAATCCTTACTATAAAAAATAAAATAAGTTTAATTAAGTTAAGTTAAATTAAATTAAATTAAATTAAAAGTAGTTATATAGGGGCGCCTGGGTGGCTCAGTGGGTTAAGCCTCTGCCTTCGGCTCAGGTCATGATCTCAGGGTCCTGGGATCGAGCCCCAAATCGGGCTCTCTGCTCAGCGGGGAGCCTGCTTCCCCTCTCTCTCTCTCTCTGCCTGGCTCTCTGCTACTTGTGATCTCTGTCTGTCAAATAAATAAATAAAATCTTAAAAAAAAAAAAGTAGTTATATATTTTCACTTGAGGGCCTAACTTATAATTGTGGTCCAGAGTAACAGTTTCTGTACAAGGAAATCTAGAGTATTTTTCCATCTACTAGGACATCTGAGTTTCAGCAACAGATTACTATTATGAAGGAATCAATAAAGCATATATTTTTAAAAGACTGTTTATACCATTTTTTTAATTCATAAACAAAATCGTAACAAGAAGGCTTCTGCATAGAGAAAACAACAAATGATGTTGCAAATTAAATCCTAAGCATAATTTCATAGAGGTAAGTGAAGAGAAAGTTTTCTTAAAGAAGCTTAATAGAGGGGCGCCTGGGTGGCTCAGTGGGTTAGGCCGCTGCCTTCGGCTCGGGTCATGATCTCAGGGTCCTGGGATCGAGCCCCGCATCGGGCTCTCTGCTCAGCAGTGAGCCTGCTTCCTCC